GGGGCTGAGCATGAACAGAGACGGGCAGGGGCGGCCAAGCGCCCGTGTCCCAGCCCCACTTAGCATGGGAGGGGTCCCTTCCTCCCGCTAATCCCTGGTTCCATCTCTGCCCAATCGTCAAAGAAGTGCCCGAGCCCCGGGGAGGGAGTGAGGACCCCCCAGAGTGTCCCCAGAATAGACACAGGCGGAGGCCACTGCGGCATTCCACAGCTCGCTGAGGCAGCCGATAAGCTATATAAAGGCTGCTTGTGGCCGCGGCGGGGCCTGGGGTGGAGAAAGCTCTCAATTACAGCGCTGCTCTGGGGCTGGGCTGTCCTCAGCCTCGGACTGAACCCCCGGGAACCTGCCCACAGAGAGGCAGGAGTTGATATGGAGCGCCGGAGGCGCTTCCCTGGGGACCCAAGGCCAGAAGGCAGTGAGTTCCACGCCCTCTTTTAGGGCCGCTGGAAGAGGCCACGGGGCTTCAGGACGCCGGAGATGGCCCTGCCACGACCATGGCCGGGTCTTACGGTCCAACCACTGCTCTTGAGGCCACAGACACTCGCTCTCCTGCACATACTAGGGGTTCTGTGACCTGCTCACTCAGTCCACGAGCAGCCCCTGGCCACCATGTCTGAGCCAGGCCTGAGATGGCACAGGCAGGGTCAGTAATGAGCAGTCCATGGCTGGCACAGCAGACCCCAAAGGGACAAAGAGGCTCGGGCAGCTGAGTCAGCACCGCAGGAGGAGTGTCCGTGACACCTGTTCCCTGGGAACCTGGACAAGTGCTCAGCCCCTGTGCCTCGCGCAGCCATGATCAAATGGAAGAATCAGAAAACCCACGCAGGCTTTGGTGTGGCCTCCACACCACCATGGCCTGAGAGAGCATCACCAACCGTGTCACAGACCTGGAAGCTCTGGGGGCCTGGGCTCCAGGGAGCAGGGAGTCCCAGGCCTTAGCCTTATCCCCACAGAACAAATCCAAGCCAGGCACCACCAGGACGCGAGGAGCAGTGTCACGCCCAGTCCAGCACAGGTCACTGCACAAGCCCACACCAGCAGTGGGCAGAAGCCTGGGTGCGACCGACCACGTGAGGAAAATCACTGAGCGGCACGGCCTTCTCTCTGAAGCCTGACACCGGAGGCCGACGTGCAGCCAGGATCACAGACGCTCCTGGCAGTGTGCTCAAGTGAGGCCTGGGGCAGAGGACAGGGCAGGCCCCTGGGGGCCCCAGAGCCTTGGAGCAAAGGTGAGGCCTCTGCAGTGCCCACGCAGAAGTTCTGGTGAACCCCAGGCCCTTCCTGCTCCCGCTGCACCCCTTCTTCTGCTCACATGGACACTGTCAGCTGAGTTTTCAGACCAGACAGCCTGGCTGCTCCCAGACAACCACCTGCACTGCCTGAGCATTGAGGGAGGGCCGCTGCACCCCAGCCCAAACTCCGGCCCCTGACTTCCTGTGCACTGCCCTGGGATTCAGCGTCCCCTCTGGAGGGGAGCCCCAGGGAACCTGCTGTCCTGCAGGGCTGCCCTTCCTCCCTCTGTAGCCAGCTTGGATGAACGGAAGGGCTTGGGGAGCAGAGGGACCTCAACTCAGCATCAAAAAAGGAGGGGGAAGGAAGAGGGATTTGCTGCGTATTCCTATTCTCACGGGGGAGTAAGTCTTGCACAAGCACTTCTCACACCACATCACGCCTCAAGTGCAGAATCACTACCCATTACGCGGGTCTCCTGCACAAGTGACCTTGTTTAAAGGTCACTTTAAACAAAGTGCAGGCAGCTCCTCCTCCATCTGAGCTTGTTCCCGTCACAAGGCGCAGACTTTGCCCTCAGGAAGTTTATATTCCGTGTGCGAAGACAGCGCCCAGGCATTCACACTCGCTTACGTGCACCCTCCAGACTGTGCTCACCTGCTGCTCTCCTGGGGACAAAAGCTTCTCCAGGTCAACATGGGCGCCACGCAACAGCCCTGCATTCTGAGTAGCAGGTGTGCAGGGGACCCGCGTAATGGGCAGTTGTTGAAGGAAAGAAGGAACGGTTACCAAGACACATGGTTGGGTTATTAAACCTGGTGATGAATGAATGACTGAATTAAGTCGGCGGTTCCGACAAGGCACAGTTGGGTGGTTGAAGGGGCATGAAGGCGGGGTCAGGTGGATCAGAGGTGCTGGGCGCACGGCTGAGTTGCTGAATGACCGCGAGAGTGGGCTGGATTGAGTCAGCGCTCACCACAATGCAGGGCGTGTTGTTGAAGCTAAATGAAGGGACTGAATTGAGTCTGATGACTGATGCGACACGACGTGTGGCTGTTGGAAGAAGGAAAGGAGTGCTGGGCAGGAGCACTGACCGTCCCAAACCTCCATATTGAATGTCTGCGATCCCCAGCCTCCCACACGCCGTGGCTGCTCACAGCAGCTCTCGATGGGGCCGCGAGGCCGCCCGGCTCCCTCCCCGGCCGAGGGATTTCTGTTTGTTTGGACTTGGCCAGGCTCCTTGATTTACCCTCACTACACGCTGCTCCCCATGTCCCTGAGGGCTATTTTGTTGTTATTTTGCTTCTGACTGAAGCTCGGGGTTTGTTTTGTTTGTCACCAGAACAGAGCAGGCCTCGTCAGCTGACAGCTGTATTGACGAAAGCGGTTCCTGCAGAGGCTTCGGACGCGGACGTCACTGGCGCATCTGGGGAAGCCTGGCGCTGGCGGCCCTGAGGGCCTGGGAGACACGTGGACATGCAGTGGCCTGGGCCGGCCGACTCGGCATCCCCTTCTCTCTTACAGCCCCCAACTCGCCCGCCCGGATCACACCACTTTCCTTGAGGCTGTGGGGCGGGAACGAACCCCAGCCCCAGGGCTTAACAGGGTTAGGTGGTTTGGGCCCCAAATAGCAGCTCCTCATCCGTGGCGAGGCATGACCCGCAGCCTACTCCGAGTCCAGGCCTGCAGGCCCTGGGGGCTAGGACAGCGGTCTCAGCACCTCAGCAGGGCCCAGCTCACCGGCCCCAGGGTCTCCTCGCCCGCTCTGAGCCCGGGAGGCTGGCCGCCTGGGCCCCACGTCAGGCGGGGTTGGCGGGAAAGTGGCAACTTCCTGCTCCCTCCGGGTCATGGGTGGGTGGCAGCTGTGCCCTCACCCGCGGCGCCTGTAACACTCCGTCCCTCCAGTCAGCTGCTGTCCCCACTCGTCCCAGGGCCTCAGCCTCCCTCACTGACCTGGGCCCTTTCTGAGCAGACCTGCCCCTGTGTCTCTGTGAAAGCTGTTCCCTGCCAGGACCCCGGCGACAAGAGCAGAGCTAACACCCGGAACGAAGAACCTGGACCCGGAGAGTACGAGAGCCCAGGGTCACTGATTGAGGCCGCTGGCCTCTGACCCCTTCGAGCCACAGGGTGGGGTTCCCAGTGCCCGGGGTGTGGGCGGTGTCACCCGCTTCGGATGCAGGTCAGAGAGGGTGAAACCCGCATCCCGGGGCACACAGGTGGCTGCTGAGGCCGATCTACCCAGGCCCGCGGTCTTATAAACTGGGCGCCACGTCCCAGTGACTCCACCTCTTGTGACAACGGGACAGAACCAGCCACACCCCGACCCGCCTCGGCCATGTGGGCCAGACAGCTGCGCTGTGTCCCCCCGATCCCCGAGCCACCCCGTCGTCCTGCGGCTCACACTCCTTTCAACACAGACTGTCGGCCCCCAGCGTGGCCTCTGGGGGAGCAGGCCTGGCTGTAGTCACCTGCAGTAACCTCAGCTGCCCCCACAGCCAACTCGGAGAGGGGGCTGTCCTCGGAGGGACCCCCTTGGAGTCCCGGAGGTCATCTTTCAGGGTCTGAGCCCCAAGATCCTGCGTCCTCCTGCCCTTCCTTCTGCCCCTCCCGACACAATCAAAAGATTCCAAACAAATACTCAGAGCCCGGGCTCATCAGAGCCGCCAGGCCCACAGCACCTGACCCCTGGATGCCAGCCGACTCTGGCCAGGTAGTTCCAATACGTGCAGGATGCCCATTTTCTTAGGGTTCTCCCCCCGCAGGCCCAGGGAGGGAAGAGGACCTGATCCCGCCACCTGCTCGCACTAGCGCATGCATCGCTGGCTCCGATTCAGCCGAGACCAGCAGACACTCCCCTTGCAGACAAGAGGACGCAGCCCAGACATTCCAGCAGCCTCCAAGGAACCGGCCCCTTCAGTTTATTGGGCACCTCTGCCTCCCTGGAGGAGGCGGACAGGCCAGGACCCTGGTGATGGTGTCGGGTCCGAGCCCAGGATGCGACTCTGGCCACCAGGGTCACCAGCCACTTGAGGAGCTCATGCCATAGTGCTCAGGGAACCCCTGCTGGGGGCTGTGGACACCCCTACCCCGACCTGTACTGTGGGTCTGCTAATCCTAAGCGGCCTGTTCGGCCACCATTTTGTTACCTGCGGCTCTGAATTCCTGCACAAGGTCGGAACTGCCCGGTCACAGGAGCCCAACCTTACAAGGTGCCTTTCAGATCAACCAAGAACTTAAAGCTTCATCACCCTGGGAAGGCTTTGCAGCACGACAGGAACGCCCGGGGGGCTGAGGACCGAGGCTTATTAAACACGTTTCCGACTTATACATCACAAGGTGAGATCGGGAACGCCCGGGGGGCTGAGGACTGAAGTATGACAGGGGACCCCAGAAGCTGATCGGTGGAGATCCTTGCTGATGAGATTGAAACCCTGAGCCCAGGAGGCGGATCAGAGCTTCATCTCAATTACAATACCGGGTCCTCAAGCAGCTGAGAAGCGCCTGGAAGCAGACTCAGAACTCTCGGATTGATAGTATGACAGAACACGTTTTTCTCTAGTTTCACCCCCTCCCTTTTCTCTCTGTCCGCCCCCTCACAACTGAGGCTGGACAATTCTTCCACCAATAAAGAGGCCAGGATCTTGCTCTTCGGCAGCATCCTGCATTGTGTAGCCTGCTCCACGACGCCCGTTTTGTTTTATCAGTGGTGGTGCCCGACGCAACACTGCCCCCTGCCCCCACCCCCGACGTGGCCAGGACCCCACACTCACTCTCACACAGGCGCCGCCGCAGCTTGCCCCGGATCTTGTCGATGGCGTCGAAGTCAGACACGTGGAAGACGTGGGCGGCCTTGGGCTCCGAGGCCATCTCCGCCAGCTCCTCCTTCAGCGCCTCCCCGACGCCCACGGCGAAGATGCGGATGCCTGCCCGGTGAGCAGCGGCCGCGGCGTCCAGCACCAGGTCCTGGCTGCGGCCGTCGGTCAGTAGGATGGCCACCTGCTTGAAGGCGCGGTCCCCGGGCCGGCCGCCGGCCTGCGGGGAGAAGCTGTGGCGGGTGAGGAAGCGCAGGGCATCGCCCGTGTTGGTGTTGCCGCCGTGGAAGGCCAGCTGGCGCGCAGCCGCCTTGACCGCCTCCCGGGAGCTGAAGCGGCCCAGCTCAAAGGCCAGGCTGGGCTGGTCGCTGTAGCGCACGACGCCCACGCGGGTGTGGTCAGGGCCCACCTCGAAGGTGTCCACCAAGTTGGCCACCCACTGCCGGACCTTCTCAAAGTCCTCCTTGCCCACGCTGGAGGAGGTGTCCAGGAGGAAGACCAGGTCATAGTGCACAGTCTTGCAACCTGCAGGGGCAAGAGGAGGTGACCAGCACATGGCGGGCGGCAAGGGCACTGTCCTCACCCACACCACAGCCTCCCTCAGCACCCACGGCCCCTCCCGGCTGCCCCTGGCCCAGACCCCTTAACGCTCCCGTCCCATGACCCAGGGTATCTCCAAGGCTGTGGTCAGCAGGCTCAGTGGACACTTACAGAATCACCATAAAAGCGATTCATGTTCACTGAGCGTCCCCATATCTATTTCTTTAAATACTGCCATTCTGGTTAAAAAGTGACTGTGGTTTTTAAGTCCTATGACACACCAAGCATGCCCATGTCAGAAAACTCAGAAAAGGAAACCGAGAAAGGCCCTAAATGCCCGGATTCCCGTCTCACAGAACGGGTTGCCACCCCTCGCCCCAGTGTCCACATGGCATCCCCTTCTCCCTGGATGGCCAGCGGGGCGGCCCTGGGCACACTGACAGGGAAGCCCTTCCCGCGTCCAGCCGCAGGCCGGGAGTCCACTCCGTTGCTGTGGGCAGGTGGTTGCCGGGGGCATACAGTTGGGGTAACCCGGCTCCCGGAGCTTCAGTGCTAGAGATCGCAGGAAACATGTCGCAGTCACACATTTCAAATGCAAAATTAGAGAAACCCCATAAAGATTTATAAAAACAGGCCTGCATCTGGCTGGGACGGTGCGTCTAAACTGCACTGCTCCTGAGTAAGCAAAATGCACACTTCATCATTGATTTCTGGCCCGCATGGCGACCCCGCGTGCTCATGTCCACCTCAGTCATCGAGCAAGAGGGACAGTGTTTTCTCGACTCCAGAGTGCGGCAGAGTCCCACAGGGGAACCAGCAAGGGCCCTGGCCTGGACGCCGTGGACACCGAGGGGCCCGCCTCTGGGGACATCCGGCACGAAATAAAAGCCAACAAGCAAGGGAAGCCATTTCGTTCAGCTGTCAGGTTGGCGAAGACCACGCAGCCAGCGTATGTGGACGCCAGCGGGACACCGCTCCCTGCTGCAGGGACGGCCAGTCACAACCAATCTCGGGGTCTCACAAGCCTCATGAGGCGGCATCTTGTGAGCTACCAAGTCCAAATGTAGACCCCCCGCCCCAGAAACCAGCTCCATAAATGGGAGGGGAAAACAAGCAAAAGGATCCGCTGCAAGGATGACTAGCAAACTCCTGGGGGCCCTGCCCAGCCACCAGGTGGGTCTGCCGGGGCCACCTGAGCCCGCAGGGATGGACGCCTCCACACAGCTGCGTGTGGTGTGTGTGCAGTTGTGTGCGGTGCGGGAGAGCCTGCAAAGGGCAGCCCACCCACTCCTCAGAAGCAGAGCCGGCGGTGAATTTATTATTTCATTTTGTGTTTCTGATTTTGTATTCACGAGGGATGAATTAAGTCGGGGAAATCCCAGGAAGATGATAAAGTCACCAACGCAAGTAAGCACGCACACCGCACAAACCTGTGCACAGAGGCATGTACACACACCTGCTCACACGCACACGCACGCCCAACCCACCACACCTGCCTTTCCACTCGCCCTCTAGCGCCTGCAGGACAAGGCAAGGCCCCCGGGCTGGAGTGACCCCACCAGTACTGGTCTTTGGGGTGTATGTGCTCAGAGGGTGCACTCAGAGTTAATTCCCAGGGAGTTTTTCTCCTCGACTCGAAAGGTCACCTTTGGTCTGGGGCAATTATGTTGCAGCCTGTTCGGGATAATTGGCAGTGTGGAGCAGGCAGGGCCGCCTGCGGGCTGTAATCCTTGAGCAAATTTGTTTGATGGTTGCACAGGCTCGTCTGTAGCGAGGTCTCCCCGGGGCCCTTTGGAGAGCTCTGTGCCTTTCCTCCCGGAGGCCAGGGACCAGCTCCCAGGACTGTGCGTGTTGAGTGCCATGTCCGGGAAGGGCCCGGAACCCAAGGTCCGCGTCCTGGCTCTGGCCTCAGCTGGGCAACAGGCAAGGGCAGGTGACCCCTGCAGGTGACCACTTCCCTCTGGGCACCACTGTCCACTCTGAACTGAGAGCCTGGTGGAGGCGCTCTCGGGCCCCCCTCACTTCTCAGAGTGATGACCCCGAGTCAGCCTGGACTTGGCCTCGCCTGACAGACACAGATGTCCCAGAGCCCCGCGGCCAGCGCTGGATTTCCAGCTTCACGCTGAGAGGCCCCCAAAAAGTGAAATACCTGGGAGAAATTTATGAAAAAGCAATACGAAGACACAGTCTTCAGGGTGGGGTCTCACTTGCAGACTCAAGAGAGCAGTGTGGGTTCTGGGCCAGCACTCCCTGTGTCGTCCACCCTGCCTGGGGGGCTCTGGTCCTCGCTTCACCTGCCTCACCTGCAGCCTGGGGACAGTGCTTCGGTCCAGTCATCCAGCGAGAGCGAAAGCCCCAGCGAGTTGTTCCAGTTAGCAGCAAGCGGGCCCTGATGGAGGGCTCTGGTAAGAGTGACTCAGCTTGATGGGCCCTTTCTAAAGTGGGGGTGGGGGTCACCTGTCCGTGATCTACAGAGGTGTGTGCCCCGACGGGTCAGTCTCCTATTCTCTTACACTCACAAGCACACATTAGCTCACACACACACACTCCCTGACACTCATATCCGCATAGCCGTGCACACCCACTGCTGGGCCCCAGCCCCGCCTTCGAGGCCCACCTGCCCTCTGGGCCTGACAGCCGTGGCCCCCACTCCACAGCAGCAGCATCCAGAGCAGACAGGGCGCGGCGTTCCCTCGGGGGCCGGCCATGGTGCGCGTGCTCGCGACCAGCGCTTCCCAGCCAGGAGGAGCAGCGTCGGGGTCTACCGGAGCATCGCCTGTGGAGAAGACACAGGCATAGTGACAGCTGCAGCCGAGACGTCCACACAGCGACCTGGGCAGGAGCTCCCCGACCTGGCCCCTGTCTGTCTCACCCCCATACACAGCCCCCACCTGTCTCACCCCCAACCCAGCCCCCACCTGTCCCACTCCTGACCCAGCCCCCACCTGTCCACCCCTGGACCCAAGCTCCACCTGTCTCACCCCTAATCCAGTCCCCACCTGTCTTACCCCCAAAAACATCCCCCACCTGTCTCATTCCTCAGACTGGCCTCTTCACACAGCCCAGTGTGACCTCCAAAGAGCAAAGCCGCCCTCACCTCCCCATCACCCACCACACCTCTCCCACCTCCAGCAGTGGCAAACACGGCTGCCCGTGCCATCCCACCAACTACCTGGGACCAGGCCCGAGGCCAGAGGTCGCAGCTGCTTTGGGAAGAGCTGCTCCGTGTCTGACCTTACGAGTCAACACCTTTGTGCCTACGCCTTTGCCCAGGTCTATTTTCTTAGGGCCCATTTGTAGGAGAATACTTAGGGCACCTGAGTCTTGAATGGCTGTGTCAGTGGCTGCTGCCTCGGGCCCACGCTCTCCTTCACCCAGAAGGGACCCTTCTCCCAGACCTGGGTCTGTCTGGAGCCACGCTCCTTTCACACAGGAGCCACGGGGCACAGCAGCCACCCCACGAGAACGACCAGAGAGCTCACGGCAGATGGGTGCCTGCAGCAGGTGCACCGCGTGGCTGTAACAAGACACAGCCCCTGCCATTCGCACGACACAGTGTCACTGGAGGGGCTGGTGCTAAGCGAAGTAGAAGCGATCCAGGGCAGCAAGGGCCCTAAAACTGGCCACGGACACTGCCTGAACAATTCACCAGTCACCGTCTGTGTGCCTCACCCACGCCCACACTTGCAAGGCCACCCAGGCTCAGAGACCAGCAATAATGGGTGCAGGGGCAGGATGGGCCAGAGCAGGATCTCATGATCGAGCAGACGGGCTAAGGAGAGTCCTGGAGCCCTCGGTGGCTTTTGCAGGCTTTTATTGGGCTTCACCAGGCACACAGCAGGCAGGGGTCACGCTTTCTGGGCTCCCCGGCATTCTGATTCTTCTGGTTATTCTGCTCCTTTCGCTCTGCTGTTCCTCTGGCTTCCCCACGACCCCGCTCCTACAAGCCCAGGCTCAGCCAGGTGAATCCCATCTGTGTGTCCCACACCCCACTCCAGGTGCCGCCCTCAGGCAGCACTCAGGAGCGCAGATCCACCTCCAATCCTGCTGGCAGGAGGGCAGAAAGCCTGATACCTTTTAGCTTACCCTACAATGGGGTTTAACAACCCAGGGAAAAAGAGCTACTGAGGCCAAAACTGGCCGTTCGCCTCGCCCAAAGTGTCCGGTGCTTTAAAGTCCTAAATGCAAACGCTCCCAAGCTGGCGTCCACCCCCACTGCGGGCCTGGAGCTTGCGGCGGCCAGACCACCGCGGGAGCCACCGCGGGAGCAGCTCACCAAGACAGCGGGAGACACGACAGGAGGTGCTCGCCAGAGCTGCCCAGATGACCCGGAGCAGCAGCAGACAAGCGACACTCAGGACGGCAGCTGCAGCGGCCGAACAACCCAGCAACAGCCCCACTCACAGCTCGGCGAGGCGGCTCCGGTCTCTGCCTTCCCCGCCAGGCCGTGACAGCAGCAAAACTGGGAGCAGTTTCAGCAGCTCAGCCACTTGTAAAGCCGCCGAACTTTTCTGGGGGATTCTCCACATCCTTCCAAGGCCCACAGCAACCTTCTGGAAGCTCATCGGCATGATGGGGGCAGAAGTCACTGACCCCAGAGTCGCCGAAGATCCGAAAATGCTGACATCCCCAACACTGACTCCCGAACACCCCACCCCAGGGCCCTTCGGCCATCCCGGATATCCCTCCTCAGAGTTGGCATATCCCTCCCCATACTTCGTTGGCACTTTCCCTGGGGCTCCCCGTCCGCACCGCACCCCTCCAGGGGGCGCCACCTGTAACAGACTTTGGCTTCAGCCCCCGTTCCGGAAGGAGCAGGACAAACACCAGGTGATTTCACTTAATTGTGGACCACAGGGAAACAACAAGGGGTCAGACGAAGAAACCAAAAACAAGGCCTAGACATCTGCCGATGGGGCTGAAGCCACCAGCGCAGGAGAGAGAGGACGGAAAACAGAGGGAGGGGTCCGTGGGCTGTGGTGAGGGTTACAGGTGCTTTGGGGTGCAGTGGTGACATATCCTCAAAGGTGTGAGCCTCCTCCCCTAAGTCATACGCAGTGGCGTAAGCGCTGTTACCTCCATGGAAATAAAAAACTGCTCGCCCAGCTCACCGGAGAGGAGGGAGCAAGGGCGTCTGAGGGACAGGGAGAAACGTCCCGACGAGCATCCCAGGAAAGCCGGTTACTCCACCTTCACTCCTGCCCCAGCCTGCCACCCTGGGCGGTTCCACGTGTGTAGGGTAAGGCAAAAAGTGTCAGGCTTTTCCGCCCTCCCGCCATGAGGATAGATGAGGGAACCCTGCGGTCCCGAATGCATGCCTGATGGCGGCACCTGCAGTGGGTGCACCTGGGCTGAGATGGAGTTTATAAGGGCGGCGTCTCAGGGACACCAGCAGAAGCCAAGAACGAAGAGAGAGCAGAGAAGCAGAGAGAACACGCGAGAAGGCCGGAGAGCCCAGATAGAGTGAAGACTTGCTGGGGGCTGGGAGGCCTGCCAGCCCCCCGGCCCCCCAGCACCCCTGCCTGCCATGTGCCTGGTAAGTCTAAATAAAAGACCTGCAAGAGCCACTGAGGCCCCTGACTCCTCCTTGACCCGGTCTGCTGCATCAGAAAACCTGCTCTGTGTCCATTCCTGCCCCTACAACATGGTACCAGCACAGAACTGTGGCGTGTTCGACCGGGACGGCCACGCAAGTGCCTTCCGTCGTGTCTGGTTCTTACATGTGGCTGCGATCACGTGCTGGCGTTTCCTTGAGGGTTTGGCCTCTATGTGCACGGGAGGGATTGGTCTGCCGTTCCCTCTTTTTGGAATAGCGTCATATGTTTGGTGTTAGGCTCTCGACGGCTTCACAGGAGTCGATATTCTGTGCTGCTATGTTCTGGGGCAGCCGCGGGGCCGAGGGCGACCTCTCCTGCCCCCGCCCCCGGAACCCAGGGGGTGGTCATCACAAAATGCACCGAGGGAGCTGGCCTGGGGTGGAGTGCCAGCTTTGCTCCGAGCATTTCCTCTCCATAAAATGGGGTCAAGCTCCACTTCCTCGGGGTGCTGGTGCTGGGAGGGATGCGTGGAGTCATTTTTGCAAAGCAGGCAGCCCCATCCTGGCACGGTGGGAGCACACTCAGTGTGAGGTTCCCAGCAGCCAAGTTCCCCACCCTCCCGGCCGCCTCGGTGCAGCCCCAGCCAGCCCGGCACCCTCATCCGCCTGCATTGCCAGACCCCGAGCCTTCCTGGGGCTGGGCTGCCCGGTGGGCGTGAGCTGGCCACGCCCCCGGAGGCAGAGTGCTGCCCTTAGTCTCCAAAAGTCCAGCAATTAATCCACTGAGCCGAGTTCCTTCCACAAACTGCCCAGTCACCATGGTAACCAGTGCTCCCTATTCAGGGGCCCAGAGAAGGGGGAGGACTCTGAGTGGAAAGCAATTTCCAGAGAGAAAATGAGATTTGGTGCAGCGCTGGGGCAGCCAGGGCAGCAGACGACTCTGGCTGCTTCGGGGGCCTGGTCGCCGTCCGCGGGGTGGAGGACAGGCGGGGGAAGAGGCTGCTCTGTGTGTTGCTGGGGTGACAGGCACTGGTCCAGGCAGGAATCTGCCAGAGACATAAAGGCCTGGCATGGCTGTGTCCAGACCACTGAGCTGAGTCCTTCTGTCACAGGCAGCTCGACACCGGCGCCCGTGGGCTGAGCGGGGTGATGCCCGCTGCACCTGCTGGTCAGGGCAGGGGTACTCGGGGGCTCCATCTCTGCGGGGCCCCTCCAGCCTGGGGAGCACTGAGGAGCCGGCATCCTGGGTTCAACACCGAGCTCTGCAGGACTTGTAGGCACTGATGTTTCCGGGGGCAACTGCCGTCAGGAGGGTTGGGGCACGCCCACATGGCACCAGCACTGGATCAAAATCCCTGTGTCCAAATTCCAACTCTGCCCCTTACTAGCTGGGCAAAGGCGGAAAGCCGCTTCCACTCCCTGGGTCCCAGCCCTTCCGGGTATGCCTTGGGACCGTCACCCCAGCTCTCAGGCCACTGGGAGAATTAAGTGCCTTGGAACAGTGGCTGGGCGCAGCGGGCCTGGGAAGCCCTGTCCTCTCCTATAAGACGGGAGACGTGGAGGGTCTCAGGGCACCCTGGGTATCCTGCTCCACTGCTGCCAGGATCTATCTCTAGGGCAGACTTGGGGGCTGAGCTGCTCAGGGGTGGGGTCCGCATCTTTCGGCAGGGACCTCACTGGTGTGCCCGTGAGGCACTCACCAAGTGCCCGGCCCTTGGGACAGGACGCTGTGCCCAGCCCACTGCTGGGGACGACAAGCCAGCGGGAGCCTGCATTTCTGACACAGGTGTGTGCCTACGGCAAGCCTGGGCAGTCAGGGAAGGCTTCCCGGAAGAGGGGATATCTCAGCTGAGCCTGGAAAGATGAGTGAGGAGTGGGCAGGAGCACAAGAGCTGCTTCACCGGAAGAGCCCACCCTTCTTCCATAGCCCTCGCGGGATGGGTAGCAAGTACAGCATTGTGACGGGTGGGGTGAAGGGATGGTGAGCATGGCAGAGGCTGGGGCACAGGGCAGGGATCTGTGAAGTGTGACGACAGAGTAGTAACGAGGGCCGCCTGGAGGCTCCTGCAGGGACCCAGAGAAAGTGTTGCGGCTCTGCCTGAGACTCCTGAGCCCGCAGGTGTCCCATCGGGGGTGCACCTGCTGCTGTGGTTCAGGAAGCCCTAACTAGAGGATGCTGGCATGGGGGGACCTGTGCGGTTGGTGCAGCATTCAACTGCGAGGCCAACCAGCTTCCCTGG